GGCTTCTCACTCTTATTACCTATACGAAATATAACTTAAAATCAAACTTCTCTATGCTATAAGAGCTATCTGTAATTGCTATACAAAAGCTTTATTATATGTCTAAAAGGGTATTTGATATTCGGCTGGCCGTTTATAATCTTTGATTCTAGCTTTCATGTTCTTCTGTGCAAAAAATGAAAATGAAAAAAAAATGTTAAAAAATAGTTTAAAAATTAAAAATAAATAAAACAATATATAAAGAAATTGTAAAAAAAATAGCTTAAAAACCTAATACTTGTTCTCCAGGGTATGAAAAGTGCATTACATTGTTAAAATAAAAAGAACTTTAAGCAAAACAAAAAGAATACATAATAAATATATTTAAAAAATAATGAAAAAAGTATATTTATAAATATATATTGGAACTCTAGTAAATAGTTAATATAAGCAAGCAAGCCTTATGATTACTGTACTTGTTTTAAATACATAAATACAATGGGCAGTTCCTGGTTGAAATAGTGCAAATATACAAATACCGAGAAAATATTTTTACACAAAATATTAACGAAATGTTTCGTATGTAAGGCTAAATTATATTTTAAGAAGCACTCTACACACATACATAACAAGAGCAACAACATCAACAACAACAACAACATCAAATGTGTCTGTGTCTAGCTGTTATAAAGTGCATTTTGCATATGGATATTGTAACTAATAAAGCTTTCCTTGTAGTAATCCATGTTTTGTGCTCTGCAGCTGGGAAACGTTTTATAGAGTTAGATACACCTCGGAGCCCACACGCTGTGCCGCAAGCGAACAAATGACAAAAAATCGAACAGTATTTGAACTCTGCTGGCTGGCCGAAAGATCTAAGCCGCTTGTGATATATGTGCTGCAAATTGGCGGAGCCAGAAGAAAAACGAGCTATGACCATTGCGAATTAAGGTCATTGGCGTTAGCGGAATCTGTAGCCAAAATCTGTGACTGTGACTGGGTTCCACGCATGTGCAGCCAAACGGTAGCCAAACAAAAAGTCTATATCACAGACATGTGCTTAATATGGCCCAAGTGCACAGAGATATACAAATGGACGGGCCAAAGCCCAGCCAACTAAAATGGTAAACATGCCAAAAACAATTACCAAATGCTGCAAAAGTCGAGAGCAAGCAGCAAACATTGCAAAAATAGCCGTACGAAAATAATAATAATAATAATAATTGTGGCCAATTGCTGTTTAGTTGGCAGTTAATTGCAACATGGCCAAGACAGCCAAGCTGCACGAGTTGCTCAGCCAAAATGTTCTCCGGCTATTTGCAGTTCTTTTCCTCAAATCCAAAGGCGGCTCGAGTCGTAGACAAAAGGCAAATGAACCAGTTCCAAGCATAAATCTTGTTATAAAGGCAAACATTTCAGCTAATAGGCTTAACAGTTTTATATCGAGCTAAGGGAGGGTCTCTAATTGCGTAAGTATTTATTTTTTTAATATTAGACTTTTTAGTTTTGAATATAGTTCGGAATATATAAATAAAAAAAATTAAATAAAGAAACAAAATAAATATTAGTTTTAAAAATTAAATAAATATAATTCTTTATTCAATAGAATAAAATTTAAAAAATTAATAAAAAATCTATTTAAAAATATTGCTTAGAAATTTTGATTTGTAAAAAAAAAATTGAATAAAATTGTTAATCAAACAGAACTTTCCCTACCTCACATAATGCATATATATTCACATGCCCACTTTTATTTTTTTACTTGAAATAATTATGAATGCAAAATATACAATAGCTTTTGCATCAGACTAAATCATTGAAGATATCTATAACTCAAAATAGAGAGCTCTCTATAAATTGTTTAGCAAAGATGTCAATTCATCTTAATCAGATTTTAATTTCCGCCCAATATTTAATATGCGAATAATGAATTGTAATAAGAAAACTTTCCTTTAATTCAAGATTTCAGAGAAATAAATGATAAAAATGTAATTATAAACGTAATTACTTTTTTTTAATAAATACTTTTTATTTCTTTATGAAAACCTTTCCAAATGCTATTCAAATTATATATTTTCTTTAAACTTTCATTCATGTATTTTATTTTCTAAAGATTTTTAGCAAGTGAACATTATTGATAGCTGCTTCAATTAATCAATTGGAAATATTATTAAAATATTTCATCATATGGTTTATTAGACCAGCTTCTTGATGAAATTGCTATGACTGACGCTTGAACTTTCAATAATGACGAACTCGAAACAGAAAGTGCGTTGCTCTAATTGATGTTTTTAATTTGAAAAATGTTCCATTAACTTGTTCAACTTGTTTATGTTTATTGACCAAAGATTGGTGTTTTTATTTATGGGCCGAGAGGCAAACAAAAGCTGGCTACACAAGTTGCTTAGTCATCAGGGTTTTACCAATGCTCTAATGGCAAACATAAACACCAAATTGTGAATTGATAAATAATAATATGGTCCATAATAGTTTTCCATCCCTCGTTCTTCTTGCCAAATGCAGAATGCAGTCTTAGAGACGGGCTCACGTCGCGTCGTGGCTGGTGACTGTCGACGGCTTGGCTTGGCTGGGGCTGGCTTTTTGGCTTTGGCCGTGCCGCAATTACCAAGACAGGCAGCTAATTTTATTTGCTGTAAACGTGCGCCTCCATCTCTTGTCTGTTATTATTGTGATTGTTGTTGTTGTTGTTATTAAAGCTGACTTTTTGTCGGTGGGAATTATTTGACGATGACTTTTCAGGCGTTGCGTGTCTCAAGCACATTAGCCACTAAAAATCAGAAGGCAGTCGGAACAGACAAAAGGCGTCTGCGTCAATTGAGTTGTCAGCCAATTGACAAGACATTACTCAGGGTGGTCCAACAGTTCATGATCTTCACGTCGGACTCGCTGTCTCTTGTGTGTGTTTTTGGGGTGTTAATGGAAGGCGTCGAAATGTTTAAGACTTAATTTTTTTTGTTTGCTGCTGATTCGGCAATAATATGCAAATTGAACAGGAAATCGCATCGCAGTGTATTTGAAAGTGTATAAAGACTTTGTGGAATACAAAAGAATATATCAGATATTGCCAAAAAACTGGTTCGTATGAAAGTTAAGCAGAGTCTCAATAAAAGCAACAACAACTTGCATTATTATTAAACTGAAGACTATTAGTTGACAAACAGATAAAATAATATTGAAATCAACTTTTTGCTGAGCGCGAGCAAGAGAGAGTGATAGAGAGAGAAAGAGACGACAATCAAATACTCTGCATAAATAAAAAATTATTTCAGGGATTTTGTTACTATAAAGTTGACAAGCTAATAGAACTTAATATTTTTAAAAAATCATATTGAAATTGAATAAAATACTACCTAAAATTTGAACAGTTAGTCTATTCTATTAGCTTTCTGTCTAATGTTTCAGTTAAGCTTTAATATTTTTTGGGAGTAACTATAATTAAGTTTAATAATTTAATAATTGTTAATAATTAAATATTAATAATTTAATATTAAAATGAAAAATTTTACAAATTCATATTACTGAAGATGTTTAAAGAATATTCTTAAAAAATATTTTTAAGTAAACTATAAACAATAAAAACAAATTGTAGAGTGTACATCATATATAAAATCAAAGAAAAGTATATTATGGAATATTTTAATATATGAAAGCAGTTTAAGACGACTTAAACAAAAAACATGTTTTGTATATATATTTTTTTAAATATTTTCCAACCACTAAAAATGTCGAAAAGAAATAAGCCTTTGCAGGCAAAATGCTAGAGTTCATTTCACCAATCCCAGCTTAGACATTGACTGCTTAGCAAAGTGTATCAGAAATCTAAGAAGCCCTGCGAGCTCAGTTCATAACTCAGTATTGACACATTTGTTGGACAGTTGGGAGTAGTCGAATGGATTGCACAACCTTTTTGCAGAGGCCTGTCAGAGTTTATGTAAGCGAGTGAAATGAATGCCAGATAGATAGCATTTAGTTTGGCGTGGCTCACAATTTGACTGCCTGACCATATGCTATATGGCCGTATAGACTTTGAGACCTGTACTAGCACCATATTTGGTGGATATTTTGTCAATAGCCACGGATGGCGGACTGCGGATTGCGGCCTCTAGTTCAGTGGATGTCGTGTTCAGGCAAAGTGCAATAATTCACACTCACTTTGGTGTGACCCATTGGGGTTGGATTGGGTGCCACAACACGCTCTGTGCCACATGCCGCACGGTGTGGCATGCAATCCATACAGATGCCGTGCTCAAATTATGCTTGAACCCCAATGATTATGAAACTTTACATGCACACGCTGCCACTTTGTATAGTTTATGAGTTGATAAAGCGGCGAGGCGTGTCGATCGAGAATTCCGCTTCAATTGTTCGAATAAAGTTATTAAATTAAATTTACGATTTCTATAATCAAAGAAAATAAGAAACAAGAAAAGACACACCGAGCGTGCAGTTGAAAAATGAATTGTTTGCCAATTTCAAAGTGCCACCGGCGATACGTAAATTTGCGGTTCAGCTAACAATTTATGACTAATTTAGGCATGATTTATCCAATCGACTATAAACAAAAAGCTAAGTTAGCCAGAAAATAAGAGAAATAAGTTTGCAAATTTAATTAAGTCGAACAAAGGCCATGGACAACAGCTCGCATCAAAGCGATAATCGAATGCATTCAACTTGACGTGCTCGAAATATATGTCGTACATGTATAGTGGGCGCATAGCTGAGACACAAACCTGAAGTATCTTCGCCTGGACCTGAATCGGCTGAGTACGCGTCACTCGCTTGCATCTCGGCTTTGAGTGCGACTGCGATTTCGACTGCGACTGGGGCTTCGGCTTGTCTCTGCAGCCTCGGCTCTCAGTCTGAAACGGATCGAGTCGCTGGCTACTTCAACTTGGCGTTGCATAAAAAGTGGTTCAGTGGAGCAAACGGCTTCAGACTGAAAGCAACGCGTGCGCGGCTAAAAAGTATCGTCCACACATTTTTCACTTATAACTCAACTAACGGCGCGGAAGTGAAGTGTAGGTGCCCAACACACAAATATACATATACTCTATGAAAGTAAATCTACTGTGAGCATCCTTTGTGCCTTAAAAACTGTGATCAATAATTTTAAATTATTGCGAATTTATTCATATTTTCAATACAAATTTGCATTTGCAGCTGTGACGTATACGTAATATTTTGGATACATATTTTTATTAGCGGAATCACATCTTTATAATAGCATCGAAGGTGAGTTTAGCGCACAGTTTGAAGGTTGTTTTGGTTAGGATTCAAATTTAATGCTCTTTCAAATTTATAAAGTATTTGGAAAGGATTTTTATTTGCATGCAAATTATTTAAAGAAGAAGGGAAATACATGTTAAAAAAAATACAGGAAAATTAAAAAAAAAAAACATTTTGTTTTAATTAGCAAAACAATTAGAGAATATATATTTTTTAATTCTTAAAATTAAAATAGTATAAAATAAAAATGCAAAAAAGTTGAAATTCTTCAGGTTTGAATAATTAATAAAGAATAATTCATGTTAATCCAGATAAGCAGCACATGGAATTTTCGTAAATTATATAACTTGAATATGTTCAAGCACAACAGCTTCACAAAACGGTAGAGTTAACTGCGAGTTTTGCGAACTTTAGCAAATGTATAAATTCACAATTGGACATGTTAAATATAAAATTTATTGTACAACTCATGCTCTCCGCAGTTGTGTTCTCGATCAGGTTTCTCCTTTGTTGAGAAAACAATCTGAGCTGAGTATTCCAGATTTCACTGCATATATGTATATCAATATATCAGTAAAAGTATGCAATCATTATTATTGTAATTCGATTTGCCTTTAATCAATTGGACAGATGTCAGACGCGGCAAGAGCAACAGAGTTAGTTGGACAAATTTGCATATTAATTTTAATTGAGCAACTACGAAACGCTGAAGTGCAGCCAGTAAATTGAAATTGAAAATGTCAAATTCGGCAATGCAATTCGAGACCTGGGCTGAGTAAGCCATTGCAGCTGTGGTAGGTCGCGCTGAAAGAGATCGCTTGTAATGAACACAAATTAACATACAATACAAGCTGGCAGCGACAGATTGTCAAACACCAGGGCGAAGCACAGAGAGTGTGCACTCCAAAGTGCTCCAAATATCAGCCGAGAGTCTTGGGTCTGCAACCTCCGTTGATCCTGCCTAATGAATTATTCATGTACTGCTCTCGGCCGACATTTGTTGGCTCTAACGTGCAGCGTGTTAACTGCTTAACGCATTTCATTTATTGGCATTTCAAATATTTGCGATCAAGTCTATTGAGCTATTCGCGTTTGTTGCCTAAGTCTTTTGATTGCCATCCAATCATAACATAAAATATTTATGGCCACGCATACAAATTGGCTGAACTCCTTCACTTCCGGCTTGAAAGTCACTTTTTGGCCAAGCTTATGATTACATGATGGGTGACATTGACCAAGCTAAACAAAATCTAAAAAAGGTTGACTAAAGGTTGCGAATATTCGATTTGCATATGCAAATTTAATTCCCACGACTTTTAATTGTATAAATGATATCAAATCATATGAAAGGCCAGTCGTGTGTACAGTGGCCATTGAGCTTAGACTTGACGCGCGGTAATACACATCTGCTTAGCTTGATTGACATTTTATGTTCTTCTCATGGAATAACTGAGACAGAAGTCAAATCTTATCATAAGAAGGCTATCAGATATATCAGTTATATATTTGAATTTTTTCTGTGAGCATCTTTTTGTTATTTCTTTACTTTTTGACAACTTTAATGAAGACAATAAACAAAGCCATCAATGCGTACAAGCTGCAAATTAACGAACCGCATTAAATTCACATTTCGCATACTCTTGCACAGAGTACAGCTAACTGCTCTCATTGACTATAAAAGGTAGCGAAATATGTTTATACATAAGCATTAGCAAATACTCGTGTTTACGTTGACCTATATATATATATATATATATATTGCCACATTTGAGTTTTTTTTTATTAAAAATAGCCAAGATAGCTTATTATATTTATTAACACAGTATTTGCTTGCCATGCCTATAAATAATTTTTCGACTTTCAAATGAATAAAAAGATTAATAAATCATAAATAAATAACATATAGTCAACAAATCTATTTTTTACCTATCAAATATCATTTTGTATTAACATAAATATTTGAAATATCTTGGGGACTTGATATAGAAATTTTTTAGATTTAAAGAATATTTTCGAATTAAAATATTGCCGAATTTGCAGCTCACTAAATCTATTTTGCTACTCAAGAAATCTTGAATCTTTGAAATTGAAATACAATTCGAAACCTTAAATAATTGAGACATATTGATAAAAATTATGTCTAGAAATGTTGATCGAACAAACTTTTAAATACAAATTGAAATATTTCTTTTTATATTTAAATTTTCGTAATACGAAAATTTGACCTTATGTATTTGAGTTCATTTGTTAAACTATGGGCACGCCAAGGTAAGAAGTTGTTAGAGCTGTAAGCCCCTACATTTATGTGCACTTTGTATGGTTACGTTCAATAGAATAAGAGTATCGAAAACTTTTCTTAATTAAATTAAGTTTATTTTGATCAGCGTTTTGTGGCTGCGTTAAGGTTGGTAATAAATAAACTAAACTATGACAGTTGCTTGACTAATAGAACAGGGAACACAGATATTTAACTTAATGACGACGCATTGCCGAGTCAAATTCGACTTGGTTCTAACCGCAACTGGCACTAGCTTGAGGCAGGGCGAGCCACATGCCACATGCCACATGCCATACGCCATATGCCATATGCCACAAGCCAGACTGCGCCCAGAAATGCGTACGGCCTGATTGACATTTGCTAGGCTCCAAGCAAAAAGCAAAAAGCAAAATGCATTATTCGACAGACTCAAGTGAAACTAACGACATTAATTGAGTTTCAGCAGAGCAGCTCAAGTGATTGCCTAGTCGAGCTGGCCTACTAAAGTCACATTTGGAGCGAGCCCCGCTAACCCGATGCAGGCCAGGCATCTCTGGCTAACCTCAAGTGCATTCAAGGCCCCTCACTGGGTTGCTGCCTGGGCGTACCCCTGTTTGGCTGTTGGTTGTGTAATAAACGGAATCAGTTTTGGTTAGGCATACAAATTAACCAACATTACGGTTCAAAGTTCAATTACAATAGCTTAGCGTCAACAACAATAAGTGCAACGTCAGCGATTCATTACGTAATGAGAGTTGTAAATCGAATTGATAATCAAAACAAACACAAAACCAACTACAACCCGTAACAAGGGCAGATATACACGAATTCAATTGAAAAACAATCGTCTAGAAATCAACGAGCATTCCATCCGATTCGATGCACAATCGAAACCGAAAGACGGGCCCAGCGTGCAGTCCAAGCCAAAAGAAGTTACAAAACAAACTTCTATGAATCTTGAGGGAATGTTGGTTAATTAAATTCAGTAGCACTAAAAAAACCAAACGAAGTTAACCTTCGGCGCCAGTTAAAAGTCAGTAAAAGTTAATTTAATATTGTTTCATCAGCTATCATCATGTTTTGCTTTGAGCATTCTTGATACCCTGCAATGTTCATTATAAGGCCAACTGTGGGCTGTGCCCTACACTTAAAATCAAATTTTGCTGTCACGAAAATCTAACTATAACCTTTGAGATGTTATTAGAATTTTGTCACGATATGATTGACGCTTGGCTGGATGGCTGGAGGATGAGATGAGCATAAAATAGTAGTTGAAGCTGGAACAGGCTTGAGCAGATATATATACTATAGAAATGATTGTTTGCCTTTAAGAAATTAGTGGTAATATGTGGTAATCGAGCAGATCAGATATATATATATAACTGCCCTTTAATTGATACTTTGAAATTGAGCTTTTAGTTAGTTAAAATGTTGTTAAAATATTTGGTAAAATTAATATGGCTCTAACAATTGTGCTCAAGGACTAGGAACTTGTGCTCTTTTTATTCATATGAATAATAGAATAAGATATATAGAATACAAATACAGGCAATTTATAGTACAGAAACGGACAGACGAAAATACTTATCAGCTATCAGCAGCTGAGTCGATAGTGAAGATTCTATTAGTCCACTAAATGTGCCTGGCACATTTCGTAACAATTACTCATTAAAACGATACAATCAAATTTACTACGGTTTGCGTATTTCTCATCTATAAAATCAAATTAAAAACAACTTAAGAAAGAGGGCAAAGCTCCTACTGACAAAATACAAAATATTAAAATGTTATTAAAAAGGTAATAAAGTAAATAGCAGATTAAGTTGAATGATTCAAATATCTGAAACAGGTTGTCATGTAATTAATGGTAATAGACTCGCAGTTTCGTGATTCATTGAAGTCTTGCGATTTCGATGCTTTCGCTCAGAAATCAAAGCAATTCTCTATTTATCTCTTGGATTGGCCTGCGGCGCGTGGCCAGCCAAAAGTTCAAGCGTTTGGTTATTATGAGTATTATTTGGTCAGAGTTCAAAGACGGGTTCAATTGGACAGTAACTCAATCAGTTTTTGTTTTTGTCTCTTGTTTTCGTAAGATTTTGGGTTTGTCAGTTATTTGGCCAGTCACGCATGCCTTTCGATTTCTACGAATCTCTGCGCGGTGATTTCTCAATTCGAATGCGAGCGCAATGCAAATTTATCTTTTGCCTGAATTTGCATTTCTCAAAACAAAGTTCGTGATATGTCACAGGCGTTAGAATGTGCCCCACCAAAATAGTAAGCAAAAAAATAGAAGTACAACCTAGACACTAACAGCAACAGAAACAACAACAGCTGTGACAGCATTAACAGCATTTAGTTGACACTTTGTGGCAATTAGCAGCAGCTCAGCTATTGACATTCGAAATGGCAGCGCGTCGTATGCCAAAAGAACAAAAAAAAACAATTATAAGAAAAAATCTGACAACTACTCTGATTGTCAGTGTATGATAATGTAAGTAGGTATATAATTGTATAAACAAGTCTTCTAAGGCAAGCTTTTTTGGCTTTTATTTCTAAGAAAACAAATGACTTAGGCAACGAACTTCAATTGGCTTAAGTAGTGTGTATATGAGGTTGATCAACTGTGACTTAAACTCGTGCTAACTCAACAAGCGCTACTTAACATATATACTAAAAAATTAGTATATATCTTATATTTATAAAACAATAAATATAAATTTGAAAAGAAGGAAAATGGAAGGGGAAAGAA